GAAGATAAAACTTCCTTAGCACTCCTCAGTGGGTCAACGAAGCTTTTTGGGTAGGGTGCTAGCTCATTTATCATTGCCACCTTCACTCCTACTGCACTGGCATAGCTGAGCCTCCCCTCACACAAAGTCTCCTCAACCGTTGTGTCCACCAACTCTCCATTGTGGCATTGATTAAGTCTCTTCTTGAGTGCTACCTCATTAGAACCAGCAACCACCGCACCAACTACGTTCTCACGTAGCTACCTATCACAGCAGGTCTCTTCAACTATTATATCCTCTTTCTCACCACTGTTGCACCATGTGAGCCTCATATCACCTAAGTGATCATACCTATGTGCCACTGCAGTGTCATCAACCTTCTCCATGCCAAATTTCTGTGGAAAATTAATTAACTCCACTCCTACAATGGAGTTTCAGTCGTCATGCACAGTGTGTGAGCTGCTAGAAGACTCAACTGGGTTGTCCAAATGATCCTCATATACAAGGATAGGATGGAGTATGCCCTTGCACTCCAAATTTATTGTTGAAGAGATGAGCTCCATGCAAGATGTAACCATTTTGATTCTGGTGTAGGAGAAGGACTTAGGTTGATTGATATCACCCTCTAAGCTAAGAACTGACCGCCATAAGCTTCCAATGTTGTTTAGTGTGCTCATATTCCAGAGGTTAAGGGGTATGCCATAACACTTTAACCACACACATCTCTCCTGATGAATTTGGACTCCTGGCTGCCATTCTAATACAAACTGACTCCAGTCTTTAAACCATTCCTTAATGTTGTGGATGTTAGATTGCAGCTCCACATGGGATTTAAAAGTCACGACTACATCACAGCCCCCCATTTCTGACCACAGCTTGTGGTATCCCATTCTCCTTAAGGGCCTCTTTGATACTATTAGCAGAATAATCCATATTAAGTTTGATTATGACATTGTCATAGAGCCACCCATGGCCATCTTCATTTACGTTGATGGTTGTGCAAGCTTTCCAGTGAGTTTGCCCTCTTTTAGTACCTCTGCGAATGATTTAAGGCCAACAAATGGTATTTGACCCCCTACTTGTGGTTGTTTCAAATGCACCTCTGCTGTTCTGAGCCCGCCTCCTACTTTGCACATCCCTGTTACTCTTGTCATAAGAAGCCATGTTGATTGCGAGAACCTTATCATCTACCAAAAGACCATTTGCTTTCTGAATAGCAATGTCTGATGCTATGGGACAGTCGAATCTCACAAAACCAAATCTTGAGTTTGACACTCTTCTTCTTTTGAAGGGGATAAAAACATCTCTCACTATGCCAAACTTGGTGAACAGCTTGAACAGGGATTTAGCATCCATTGAACTAGGAAGGTTGCCTAAAAATATTGTGTGTAGGCCGTGCTTTACTTCTTTTCCCTATGCTCCACCTCTTCGTCGTTGCTTCACAACAGGAATCCAACCTCCATTATTGTTGGGTGATCGCAAGTCACTCGCTCTCGCACTCTCTCTCACCATCTTTACTTGTTTTCCAAATACTCTTGCAAAATTCTTGTACTTAGGTTTTATGGTGTTGTATGTGTTGTGCTGATGCGGAGTCGGTTGATCATTTATTTCTTCATTATTCCGTTACTTCGCGTCTTTGGGGATTGCTTTGTTCTTTGTTTGGGATTATTTGGGTACAGTTTAAGGGGGCTTTGGAAATGTTGTGGAGTTGGAGGGGAGCTCAGGTTGGGTGGCGCCGACGATGGGTGTGGTTATTGATGCCGTTTTGTTTGACGTGGTTTGTTTGGTTGGAGAGAAATAGGCGAATTTTTTAAGAGATTTATCATTATATGTCATGGTCGGAGAATCGACTTTTAGTTACTTTGTTTAGTTGGTTGGAGACTAGAGTTGATTTAAATTTGTTTGCATTCTTGGATTTTTTGGATGATATAATTGGTTAGGTGTGTTTAGTTTGCTTTTATAGTTTCCTTATATTCTTTGCATCATCTTAATACTTTTTTAATAATAAAGTTTTATTATTTATCAAATATATATATATATATATAATTATATGTTGTGTTTTGCAATTTAAAAAATATTTTTAGAATTTTTTTAATTTTTATGATCTTTGAATAGAATTTTTGGTTGTGTGTTTGGTTATGAGTTATAAATTTTTGAATCAAATAATTTTTCTAATTTCAAAAACTCAAAACTCCCTCCAAAACGCAATTCAAAACTCATAACCAAACGATCTCTTTTGCTTTTGATGGTTTTTTTTTTTTTTTTTTTCTTCTCTTCCAATTCTCAACACGTGTATATAAGAATAATGTGAGTGAGAGTTTTAAAAGTGTCTTAACGAGTCCTCTATAAAATTTAGGATTTACATTTAAGGTGAACATATTCATTCTTTATACTCCCTCCGTCCCAAAATATTAGTCCCTTATTCCATTTTTCATTATCTCAAAATATTAGTCCCTCTTTAAAAATCAAGTACAAAAATAATGTAAATTTCCTATTTTGCCCTTCTTTTAAATTAATAAACAATGTAAAAAGTACAATTATGACATTGATATTCCCAAAAAATGTACTATCAAAAGGGTAATTTTGGAAAATTAATTTTTTTCAAATACAATAATTGTACTATCAAAAAAAGTTAGATTCCCCAAAAGGGACCATTATTTTGGGACAGAGGGAGTATTTTCCACCATTAAAAATGTTTTAGACCACTAATTAATAGTGGCTCCAATGATATGGCAGTGAGTCCTACCCACTGCCACATGTGTCTTGTGCCTTGTTTTTTTTTTTTTTTTTTTCAATTGTCACCTCATTAGTAATGATATTAATAATGATAAATTAGTGGTCTATAAAATTGCTTTTCCCACCATACATTGTTTCCTTCAACTTTACACTAAAAAAATTTCTGTGGTAATAAATACCTGTCTTTTCAATCACTGTTACACAAATCAGAATGCGTCAATTTAAGACACCTTTTTGTGCGGTTAGAGGCTTTCTTTGCATGATCCCTGGATCTAGACAAAGAATGTTGGGATGCTGAATATAATGTCTTATTTGTCATTTTTAAAGAAATTAAAAAATTATTATCTTATTTAAATTATAGGATAATTTACCCATAAGTCTTAGTTTTTGAAAAGTTAAACCATTTAGTCTTAAAAGTTTTCTTATGCTCCATTTAGTCCCATTTGCACATCAATCTAATGTTTGAAACATTAATCTGATGTTCGAAATCTAATGTTCGAAACATTAATCTGATGTTAGGTGAACAAATTCATTCTTTGTATTCCCGACCATGCATTGTTTCCTTCACTTTACACTAAAAAAATTTCTGTGGTAATAAATACCTGTCTTTTCAATCACTGTTACACAAATCAGAATGTGTCAATTTAAGACACCTTTTTGTGCGGTTAGAGGCTTTTTTTTTGCATGATCCCTGGATCTAGACAAAGAATGTTGGGATGCTGAATATAACGTCTTATTTGTTAATTTTTTAAAAAATTAAAAAGTTATTATTTTATTTAAGTCATATTATTTTATTTAAATTATATCATTTTTTATTATATTATTTTAAATTCAATTCATATTTCATAAAAAAATTAAAAAGTACACATGTTTAGAATATTCTAAATAGCCCCTAAGCTTCAGTTTGGGAAGAGGGTTGGCTTTTTGACTTTTTTATTTTTTTGGCTATTTTAGCCTGGGTTAAAAAGTTTGGTTTGGAAATGACTTTTTGGTTTTTTGACTTTTTTGATTTTTTTTGCGAGAGAAGAGTGTAATGATTATGGGTTGGATGTGATATTTTATTTTTTGTGGCTAAAATAACCTATTTTGTCTTTTGTGACTAAAATAGTCAAAAAAACCCCGTTTAGCTCTTGCCAAACGGAGCCTAAATATCTTATATGTTGAGCATCTCTTAAATAGCTTCTCTTGTTAATTGGACCCTTAAGAAACTTAAGTTTCGTTTGGTAAGCCTCTTAAATTATAATTTCACCCATTGATTTGAGTGTGTTATTTATTTTGAGTTTTTAAATCATAATTCTACACCCATTTCTCAAAACTCAATTCAAAACATAATCATTACTTTTCAAAACTCATAACCAAACACATAATTCAAAACTCAATTCAAATCAATATTTTAATTTTTTTAATATTTTTAATATTTAAATATTTTAAAAATATTTTAATTTTGTTAAGATTTTAAATATTTTAATATTTATTTTAAAATATTTTATAAAAATAAATTCAAACTCTATTTTACAAAAATATTTTTAAATATTTTAATTTTTTTTGTTATGTATTTGGTTACAATTTGAGTATAGAGTTGTGAAAGTATTATGGAGTTTCGAGTTATATGTTTGGTTATAAGTTTTAAAAATAATTTCTTAATTGAGTTTTGTTTTATGTGTTTAGTTACGATTTGAGTATAGAGTTATTTTAAAATTTAAAATATTAACATTTTACATTATTTAAATTTTTACGATTTAAATTTTTTGAATATTTATTTTAATTTTTTACTTATTAAATTTTTTAGATTATTTAAATTATTTAAATATTTATGATTTAAATTTTTTGAATATTTATTTTGAAAAAAAATTATTTCCTTTATAGTATTTTCAATTAAAAAATTGATTAATGTTATTTTTTGTTAATAATAAATTTTTTTAATTGAATTTTAAAAAAAGTTTGGTTATGAGTGTTGATTAGAATTTTCAATAGTGTGAAAGTATTGTGTTTTGTTACGAGTTATAACAATTTGAATTAAGTTTTGAAAACTTTTTCCAAAACTCATAACCAAACAAATTTTCTTTCTTTACATGTCAAATCAAACTTTCAAAACTCAATTCCACACTCAATTCAAAACTCAATTCAACATTTTATTAAAAAATCATAACCAAATAAATTTTTTACACTCAACTCATAATTTCACAACTCACAAACTCAAAATACAACTCATACTCTCAAATTATATTTACAAAACTCTACCAAACGCAACCTTACTCTACAATTATATTATCTCCTGGCATTAGATAAACAATGTTGGCACAACCCTCTGGAAGCCTACTATGGAGTATAGTGCTGAAGAATACTCAATGCTCATGGCTACCAATCTTGAGTCCGCTTTCCATCTCTGCCAACTTGCATATCCTCTTCTAAAAGCTTCTGGAGTTGGAAGCATTGTGTTTATTTCCTCTGTTGCTGGTTTGGTGCACACCGGTTCTGGATCCGTTTATGGAGCTAGCAAAGGTAAGTTACAATCAAGAGTTGATGATTCATATGGCCCGTAAAGTATGTCTCTTTTTTTTTTTTATTATGGTCCCTGAACTTCATTTTGTCTCAATTTAGTGCTTTCACTTTTTAAATGGCTTCAATGGTTTGTTTCCGTTTGCCTTCATTTGGACTTGGACGTTATCTCATCCTTCTGGTGCTTGGTTTGAACAAAATATAAGAAACATTTTTCAAAAACAAATATTTTCTCCATTTAAAAAATATGTAAGTAATATATGGGAAAAATCTTTTTATCTGTAAAATAATTTCTAGCAAACCAAACGAGTCTCAAAAGGAAATGTTTTTCCACCAAAATGCAGCTTCCAAATTTCCCGTGAAATAATCTGTCCCAAATTCAATGTCCTTGAATACCGATGTCACATCATCAATTAACATAAAAAATCCAAAAAAAAAAAAAGGGATGAAGTTGAGAAATTTAAAGAATTGAGGGGGCTTAATTGAGACAAAATAAAGTTTAGGGACCACTCTAAAAGAAGGGTATAGTCTAGGGATCATATGTGTTATGATTCTACCATCAATATATGGTATTTGTTGTCACATTAGCATGCTGTGGAAGTTGATGTTGTGAAGTTAATGCTTTTGGGGTCATATTTTCCGTTCGCAGGTGCAATGAATCAACTTACAAAAAATTTGGCTTGTGAGTGGGCAAAAGATAACATCCGAAGTAATTGTGTTACACCCTTTTGTATCAGAACCCCACTCTTACAACATGTAACATTCTTCTCTCTTGCTTATGATTATTTTAGAATCTAAAAACTTTTCTTTTGGACAATTTCGTCTAGAGCATAGAGCATTTACTCGGCAGATGCTTTAGAAAATATACCTAGTGAACTAACACCCCTAATAAGTAGACTTGCTTTGCCCATTTAATTACTATATCATGCTGTTTATTGTTTTACAATAATGTCATACCACTTATGTTTGGTATACTGATTAGTGTACCAACACATGTTAGAGTATTGTAATTTTAAAATTATGGATTCCACCCATTATACAAATTATAAAGACTCAAAGTCAATAAAATTATACCATATTATTTGTTAATATACTAATTGATATATCAATTGATACGTATAACTTTATTCTTTATACAATGCTTAGCAACCTGATTCTTTCTTCGGTGTGGTATTCTGTGTTTGGTCATAGCTAGGCTTGTAACCCGAATTTAGGCATTATTTCGTGGTTAACCATCTTTATGGTGTTGGAGGAATTAAAGCTTTATCATTTCAATATAATTTAATTCATTGAATGAAAGCATAATGCAAAGGATAGGCTTTTATCTTTATGATTCTGGTATCTTACATACTATAAGAATGTGGTGTGCTCACAGATGTCTCAAAATCTCAATATTAACATCTCCTCATGGTTATCAGAATCCTGATTTAGATTGTAGAATTTTAAAGTGACTACAATCGTAGTCATAAAATCTTGTAGAATCATATTATGATCCCGATTTTACGACAATCCCGATCCTACTAAAAAAAAATTCTTATATACGTATGTTAATGTGTATATTTATATAAGAAATTTAATTATAACTTTTTCACCAAACATCTTTTCTAATTTGTGTTAATATAAATATGCATTATATCATATTTATTATTTTTCTTTAATATTTTAAAATTATTTAAGATACATTATCTTTACAGATAATTTCTCATTTTATTTTACATTAAAAGTAGAATTTTATGATCTTCAATCCGATCCATAAGTCTCTCCCAACAATCCCACCTACTATCTTAATTTTAACAACTTTGCATCTAATGCAAAGTGTACCTTATCTTTTTTTCTAATTTATAATTATTTTAAAATGTATATTGAAAAAAAAAAACCTTTTAACAAGACATAACACAGAGATATACTTCAATTAAAAAAATACATGGCTATTCACTTTATCTTCAGCTCTTATAGAAATTCACAACTCTCCTTTTCACATGCGTCTCTCCATGTGTATCGGTAAAATAATTATGGTAATTCTTTGAAGCAATTAAAATTTAATAATCATGGCAATTATTATAGGGAAATTTATTAAAAAATCATTTTTTAAGTGTTTGTATTTCAATTAATTCATAAGATATTCTTATATTCTAATAAGTCCTATTATTTGGATATTTGATCTACCAAATTATAATTATCATATTTAACGTATTTTATGGACATTTCTACCCTTATAAATATTTTTTCAACGGTTAGCAATTTGGTGATGTGAACATTAATATTTTATAATGTGAATATTCACATTAACATGTTAACATTCACATTGATAATGTGAATGCTCATATTGTGAATGTTTACATTGACAATGTGAGCATTCACATCACGGAACATTCACACTGTAAATATGAATATTATTAGGGGTATTTTGGTAACTATGTCACCCATAGGACTTATTGGAACATAAGAAAATAATATGGACTAATGGAACATAAGTAGGTGAAAAAAAATTTATGAAAAAATGCCCCATTATTATACATAGGAATATTTTAAGTATACAAAAATTGTGACAAAATTTATTATGAGTTGTGTGCTTTATATAATAGAATAGACACATATGTCAGTAGAAATTTATTTTGCATATATCTAGTCACACGACTCAATGTTCTCATTGTTGAAATTGTAGTATTCCAAAGTAATTTCATACTTGCTCAGTTGTAGTTGAAGTTAGGGTTCGTTTTGTGTCTCAGTGATTGTTTGTATTTTTGTTTTACTTGTTCTACTTAATTATCTTCTTGTTGTATATTTTGGATGCCCAATTTTGTTGCACAATTTGGTGGAATGAGTTTGTTGTGATTATTGTTAGAGTGTGCTCTCAGTTAATGTGGTTATGAATGTTAATGAGTATATTTATATAAGGAATTTAATTATAACTCTTTCACCAAACATCTTTTCTAATTTGTGTTAACATAAATATGCATTATATTATATTTATTATTTTTCTTTAATATTTTAAAATTATTTAAGATACGTTATCTTTACAGATAATTTCTCATTTTATTTTACATTAAAAGTAGAATTTTATGATCTTCAATCCGATCCATAAGTCTCTCCCAACAATCCCACCTACTATCTTAATTTTAACAACTTTGCATCTAATGCAAAGTGTACCTTATCTTTTTTTCTAATTTATAATTATTTTAAAATGTATATTGAAAAAAAAAAACCTTTTAACAAGACATAACACAGAGATATACTTCAAATTAAAAAAATCACATGGCTATTCACTTTATCTTCAGCTCTTATAGAAATTCACAACTCTCCTTTTCACATGCGTCTCTCCATGTGTATAGGTAAAATAATTATGGTAATTCTTTGAAGCAATTAAAATTTAATAATCATGGCAATTATTATAGGGAAATTTATTAAAAAATCATTTTTTAAGTGTTTGTATTTCAATTAATTCATAAGATATTCTTATATTCTAATAAGTCCTATTATTTGGATATTTGATCTACCAAATTATAATTATCATATTTAACGTATTTTATGGACATTTCTACCCTTATAAATATTTTTTCAACGGTTAGCAATTTGGTGATGTGAACATTAATATTTTATAATGTGAATATTCACATTAACATGTTAACATTCACATTGATAATGTGAATGCTCATATTGTGAATGTTTACATTGACAATGTGAGCATTCACATCACGGAACATTCACACTGTAAATATGAATATTATTAGGGGTATTTTGGTAACTATGTCACCCATAGGACTTATTGGAACATAAGAAAATAATATGGACTAATGGAACATAAGTAGGTGAAAAAAAATTTATGAAAAAATGCCCCATTATTATACATAGGAATATTTTAAGTATACAAAAATTGTGACAAAATTTATTATGAGTTGTGTGCTTTATATAATAGTATACAGTGTGCTTGGTTTGAGTTTTCTGGATTAAATTTTTTGAAAATTTAATTTTTTATTTTTCGTGTTTTTTTGTTTTTAGTGAATATTTTTAAAATTTTAAACATTTTTTTAGTTTTTTAGATGCACCTTACTTAGATGTATCTAAAACATAAAAAATTTGTGAAAAAATATTTTAAAAAATTAATAAATACATAAAAATATAAAAAATGTACTGAATTCTCGTAATTTTTTTTGTACTTTTGGTATTTAGTGAATTTTTAAAAGGTTTTTTTCACAATTTTTTTACTTTTTAGGTATATTTATGTTAGGTATATTTAAAAATTAAAAAAATTGCTTAAAATATTAAAAAAATTCATTAAGAACAAAAAAATACGAAAAATAAGAAAATAAAATTTTCTGAAAACTATTTTCAGAAAAACGAAACCAAACAAGCTGATAGGTTTCTTGGGTATACGATATCAGATGTTTGAATTGTGTGAGGTAGGTTTCTTAAACATCAACCCCCCCCCAACCAAAACCCCTATTTGATATTATTTTGTAGAACATGATCTTTCCTAAGGAGTTTAGATGCATTATGTTGTGTTGACATATTTGTATCGTTTGTGAAATTTTTTTACTTTTCATTTTTCTTAATTACTTAATCAATAGAATAAGTACCCCTATTTTGATATTATTTTGTAGAACATGATCTTTCCTAAGGAGTTTTGATGCATTATGTTGTGTTGACATATTTGAATTGTTTGTGAATTTTTTTTACTTTTCATTTTTCTTAATTACTTAATGAATAGAATAAGTTGTGGACAGATTTTTATAAGCCAAGTCTCTTACTCAATAATTATTTTTTTATGGCTTCCAACATAAAAGTGGAAATTTGTTTAAAAAAATATGAAAGTGAAAATCTTTAAATAAAATTACTCACTTATATATAAGATCCGTGTACAGCATGGGTCACTGCTAGTTTGAATGCAAATGATTGATGACTTAACCTCTTTGCCGTTTGCTAAATGACAGAGATTATTGCTAAAAACTCAATCAACATTGACAATGTTGCTGCTAAAAAACTGGACATTATATATTAGCGAAGTAAATCATAGACTTCTTTTAAATCGAGCTGATTTAGCTAAAATTTAACTACCGTATTACGTGTACCTCAGTTAATCATAGGCCACTTCTGAATCATGTGGATTGTGCTGAAAGTAATTATGTTGGTTAAATTGTACACTACACATTATTTAAGCTCTAGTGAGATGACTTTAAAAAAAAGAAAAAAAAAATTAAAATTATAAAAAAATTAAAATTAAAAAAAAGTTTTCACCACTCATGACCGTAGACACTAATCACCGGTTCCTGAAATTTCTGTTCCTTTTGCAGTTGATGGACAAGCAAGAGTTCCTGGATAAGGTAAGATCTAGAACTCCTCTTGGGCGCCCTGGAGAGCCAAATGAAATATCATCCTTGGTGGCATTCCTTTGTATGCCTACTTCATCTTACATCACTGGTCAGATTATTTCTGTTGACGGAGGAATGACTGTGTATGGTTTCTCACCTAATTAGGGGAGAGAAAGAAAAGCCACAAATCTGGCATTGTTTGTTTGTTAGTCTGTGTTGGAAAATTTTATGTATTTGGACTTGCATTGTTGTGCTTTTTTTTTATTTGCGAATAATGGGTAGAATATCTGGTGTACCATTGACATATGATTGACCTGAATCTAAGGAATTTGATCAGTATTGGTTCTTGGGTTATGGTACACCTTAGTTATGTGGACCATAGTATCTACTAGTATTTTGAAAGCTTTCCAAGCGTGTGGTGAGTTTGTTTTGCTGCGGCAGGTATGCCTAACCCCCGTTGTTGTTGTATGGTTTATCAGTCTGCTCAATGGATTTTCACTTGACCCCCCAAAAAAATCCTTTATGACTGTTGAGGTATCACTCTATTTTTTGTGCCTAAACTCTTGACTCTACTTGTTGATTGCATTATTACATTGCTTAGTGTAGATTTTAGTTTATATATGGTAGCGAAACTTGGTAGATTTCTCCTGTTCTTTGTTTTTGGTTTTTTGTTTAGTGCTGTGGTTGGTTTGGATACTCTGTTAACTTGGCTTGTGGATCTGTATTTATGCTTGGTCCGTCAACTGGGTATAATTTTTTAATCAATTATGAATTATTTGATTCCACTGATGTGCGGGGTTGAAATTTGCACTAATGAAAACGAAGCTTCACAATCTCACGAAGCCTTCCTGGAATTCTGTTCCTTGCACACTAGAACATACTGTTTGATGATGTATCGATTCCCGGGTGGATGGGTCGGACCGGCCCAGGTTCTCCAGACTCCGGCTCAGGAAGGCTGGCTCCGTCAGATGACCTGCAAGCAAGTTCAGGGGGGGGAACGGGGTAGTCCCCCAGTGAACCCTCCGGTGCAAGAATTAGAAGAGCAGAGTATGAAAAGACTGTATATCGAGAGATCAAGAGAGAGAGCAACCTAACCTTCTTTTTTTCCTCTTATCCTTGCTTATATCCTTTGGTCATCATTTTTCCTGTCTCTTGTGACGTGCTTTTTCCGCCGAAAGCCTGTGCCATAGCTCATCTTGTTTAGGGTGATGGAGGCTCTGTTCCGGCGGGGAGTGCTGTTGTAATAAATGCTGTGATGGGTTGCATTAATGGTGATGTGTTGTGATAATAACTCTGCAGATCTTTGTCTGCTGATGTGGCCCGTGTCCCACCTGCCGTGTGCCTAAATGCCGTTGGCCCTTCATGTCTAGGTGGCCTCCAGCTGTTCTGGGCCTTGTCATCCAAGCAACCGGGTTGTGCCATTGGCCCCAAGCACTGGGTTCGGGGTGGTTTACCGTGGGCCGTGTGCCTTGTGGGCCTATCCATGTCACTGTTAACGTTTCCAGCAAGATGTTTGGTTAGTGAAGATCCTCCGATGCTAGTTAATGATGGGAAGAGCAAGGACATGTACAGAGGAGTTAGAAGTGCGTATCCATCCAATAGTTCTAAATCAAGGTATCGGGTAATGTAACGGTATCGATCATGTAGTATCGGTATTGGTAGTATTGACCGGTACGTATCGGAATTGGGTGTCGCGGCCGTGAAATTTCAAAAATCATTAGTAATCCCTCTAAAATACAATTTTACACATTTTTTTTAAAAATTCTTTTAGCCTTAATTTATCACATTTTAATCAAAATTTTGATATGCAGGAACACTCTTAACTCATTTTCAACTAAATGATATGTATTTATTTTAGTCTAAAGCTTTTATTTGGCATATATGTTAAACTTTTAATAAAAAAAATTGATGTGGAAATATTTTTTTACTTAGTCTCAAGCCTTAATTTATTGGTTTTAATAGGTTCATGAACAGTGAATCTAATAAATCAATTTAAAGGAATGAAGAAGTGAAATATGTATTAAACATACTCTACAGGTACATTGCAGAGAAAAAAATAAATATATATATATTAATATTTGAACAATTATAAATATATATATATATATATCTCCCATCACATATCATAATATAACCATAATATAACCACAAAATGTAAAACAGTGGCTTAAATAGCAACTACGAAACAGAAAAAAAGAAAAAGAAAAAAAGAATATATATACAAACAGAACGACAACAAGAAGAAAACAGACCATGACAACAAACCTTCTTTGAAGAAGCTTGAAAGCTATGCCACTAGGAGATGGGTTTGGGCTCGATTTGATGCTTCTCCCTACAACACTTTACAAGATTGATGCCACTGGGAGATGGATTTGGATTTGATTGAGGATTTGGGTTTGGTCCGATTGAGGGTTTTTGTTTAAAAGTCGTTGTCTCCTCAAGTTGAAGATTGAAGTGAACCCACACAGTCCAAAAAAAGAAGCTTAGATCTTTGGAGCCAAGCTTTTGCAAGAGGTTCTCTGTTTGCAGGTGCTTTGCTCCATTATCATCTGTACCGAACGATTATTTTTGCTTTTGCAGGAGGTTCCTTGCTCTAATTTCAGCCGTATCGGCGATGGCAAACGCGTATCGGAACTGTATCGCTCACGTATCGAATTCAGGCTGATACGTACCGGGAATCGGCCGCTACGGTTGTGAATTTCATTCTCACCGGTATACCAGCCCATATCAGAATCGACACTCCAATTTTTTGGTACGAATTGGCCGATACGGTACGTACTGGCCAATATTTAGAACTATGATCCATCCATAAAGGATGAGGTGAGTTTTCTCTCCTTGTTCTCCAAGAATCACCCAAGGATAACTACCTAACGTGCCTCCAGTCGAGTCATGATTATCCCTATAGGCTGTATTTAGTTGGAGAATTTGATCAGAGATATGGAAAAAGAAAAGAAAATGCAATCCCACTTTTTGTTTGATTATAATAGAAAACATATAAGAAATGAGAGGGAAATGTACTCTCACTTTTTATCTTTTGGGTTCACTTACGCTGTATTTGGTTAGGAGATTTGGGAAGGAATTTAGAAAAGAAAAGAGAAAATGTGTGTAAAATTAGATAAAACATAGATATATTTTATCTTACGTTTCGTCTACCTTTTCCCTTTCTCTTTCCAAATCATTTCTCAAATCTCCCAACCAAATACGCGTTAGGCTCTTTTATTTCTCCATTCTCCAACTCAATCAAATATTCATATTTCACTTACCTTTTCATTTTCTCTTTTCAAATCATTTCTCAAATCTCCTAATCAAATATAGCGTTAGACTCTTTTATTTCTCCATTCTCCAACTCAATCAAATATAACTTCAAATTCAAACCGTATCAATTCATTTTCATTTTCTTTCTATTTCCCTTTTCTTCATCAAATCCTCCATCCAAACACAAGGAACCATTATTCCGTTATACGGAATATTTGTGAGGTTTTCCATCATCTCATATGATAGTACATTTTCACATCGTATTAGTTGTCTAACACTTCATACATTTTCACACCTTATTAGCTGTTTGACATTTCATATATTTTTTTTTAATCGGCAAAACAACGAAACTTCATTGATGAAAAGCACAAAGCAATGTACAAAATAAATTACATCAATAAAGAAAGGTAGATGTACACTATAAGAAATTGGAGTTTTAGCGGCATTTTTAAAACGCCGCTAAAAGCTTGAAAAATGCCATAAAAAGTTACAGTGACGTTTAATATTTTCATCGCTGATACGGCTGCCGCAATAGCTTTGCAACGTTTGAAACACCGCAAAATCTTTGACATCTGTTTCAACTTCCGTCACAAACTAACGGATAATGACGTCATTTAGTGGTGTTTTTTAAAAAACGCCACTTTTTCTTTTTCTTTTCTTTTCTTTTTTTTTGTGGCAAAACCAGAATACCAAACATAAATGAATAGCAGTTTGGCCTCCTAAAGAATTTCTGTTTGAATGTCATCTTCCAATCAAAGAACATAAAACTAAAGGCTACATTTCTATTCATCATGCAGAAAAATAGAATATGTTAGGTTACATGTAAGAGTGGTGTGCATCAAATACACACACATATATAAAGCACCTTTTCCAATAGTTATGGGCTTGGCGAGGCTCCCTTTTATTAGCCATCAATAGAGATGCAACTACATCAACCTGCCACTAATATGGGACCCAAACATAAGTTTTCCATCCCACCCCCTCCCCCAGCTTTCAATCTTTTCCCAAAACATCTCAAAAACTCCTAAGACAATGCTTTAATTGTTGCTCCAAAAGAGAATTTCTCCAGCGGCCTTCTTTCATTGAGTTTGTCATATCTACCTTTTTCTTCTTCTTTCCTTTCTTTGATATGTGAACCTGCATTTGACAAGAACAAATAACATGAATAAGCCCAAATAATCATACAGCAGGTTCATTCATTAAGCCCAAATAATCACCTGCCTCCAGACCTTCACATCTGAGATTCGAGAGCGAGCGAGAGAGAGAGAGAGAGGGGTACAAAAATTCTTAATAACTTCAATTATGCCAAAGTCTAATAAAATTCATACACCAACACTACGTATATATTGCTGCCTTAACGATCTTCATCAATTCTACCCACTAAGAAGAACTCCCATTTGGAGATTAAAGAGAAAGATAACACTCAAATTATTCAGAATTAAAGTATCAAAGTTTGTCCTTAGCAATCGGAGTGGCATCAGTGATGAACCCAGAGCATATTATTTGTCACGACCCCAAACCGCCCCTAGTAGTTTGGTGCCGTGATGGCCAGTAATCCGTAATTACCGAAGGCCAACTTTTCAAAAACTTAAAAAATAAATAAATAAACTAAAATAAAATAAAATAAACTTGAATTTAAAAATTTTTTTTCTCAAAAAAAAAAAAAAAACCCCACTCAAAACACCCTAAACTCCTTGACATAAACCAAATTGAATTTTACTCAAATATTTACCAAATCAAGAAATTCTCAAATCTATATTCAAAATTAAATTCTAAACTAAGGTCTCAAATTTTCCACTCTGTCATTTGTTAAGTTTTTACAATACAGATTCAAGTAGCTCCCTTCTTTTTATGATTGAAAATAAAGAGCAAATCCCAAGTAATATTGCAATTCTAACAGCATATATATATATATATATATAACAGTATACACAAAAAATAGAGAGAGAGAGAGATTTAGCAACCACAGCTAAAATATATATAATGTGTAGTAAAAATTCAGAAACCACTTTAAATTTCTCTGTCTATGACTTGATACAAGTCCATCTTCTGCTGCATCATTACTCAAAATAAACCAGAGGTCTTTTGCCAAATCACATTAGGAAGTGAACCTAAAACCATAAGGACGATAATATGACCAATGTTAGTCAGGCTAAATCTAGTGTTCTAGAGTAAAGATTGAATTCACTAATAGTACAATTTTTGTCACTGTTATGTACTTCAAATTAGACGATTCGCACTAATGGAAAGTAAACACATAA